AGTTTGGATCGGTCGGGATTGTTTTCTGATATAACCTTGAAAATATGTTGTATAAAGTGCACCTATCAAAGGTTTGACGTCTTCCGGTCGTATCCCGTCAGCCTGATGTAAAAGAATTGAACCAGCTGTTTAATATTTTTTAATCGCTTAAAATTAAAAAGTGTCTTCGTTACATATTAGCGCGTTCCAGAGTCTGTGAAGATAGAAATAACTTTTAAAAGTCTCATGAATTTAAAAATCCTAGCCGAAATTTGTTGTAGTCGGCTTTTAGGGCGCTTCGCGCCCATTTTCTATCTCAACTTTTAATTGTGGCTTTATCTGTGAGCATCTTCTCTTTGTACAGTATAAAACAAAAGCAAAAAAAGTTTGCGGATTTCATAATATTTTTTCTTGCATTTTCAAAATTTTACAAAAATGAAAAACTTTTACCACAAATTTTTAAAATTTTGATTATTCATAAACCTTCCCCGGGGTCACGTGACGTTTTGACGTTTATTGGATACAAACAAACAAACAGACACCCAAGAAAAGCTAAATTTATATATACTAGGCTTTTAGGGCGCTTCGCGCCCATCTTCTGTTTAAATTTTGAACATGTTCTTTTTGTTTACATTTTAAAACAGAGAAGAAAAAAAATTTGCGGATTTAAAAAAAATAAAATTAAAAACCTTTAAAACACATTTTAAAAAGATTTTATCATTCATAAACCTTCCATGTGGTCACGTGATGTCCCACAAAAAATGTTGGCCCGATCGGTTCAGCCGTTTTGACGTTTATTGGATACAAACAAAAAAACAGACAGACAGACAAGCCAAATTTATATATAGATATATCCCACTCCCTTTCAACTAGTTATAAAAAGATATTCGTTTCTTCCAGATCGCTTGAGGTAAAAAATGTATTTAAATCTTTTATGATTGGTCAATGATTTGACCAATTAGAAATCATACTGATGAATCTTCAAATTCGACCAACGAATGATCACAAAACTACCAACGGCTTCCAAGCCAAGTAAATCTGAATTATTATTCTTAACGTTTGGCTGATTACCGTTTGTTTGCTTTCTTCATAAATAATTGGCATTCTGATTGTATGCTGATGACCTCCTACACCAAGCATTCTCGGTTTTTTGTTCTTTTAAAATAAGTTGATTCTGGTTATTCACCTCTCTCAATCCCTATAGTCAATACCTTTTCTCTTTATGTCTAATTGAAACCCTAGGATTTAACTTTAACACGGTCAAAGCATAATATTGTTATAAGTGTGTGTTTAATAATAACTAGAAAACAAATCTGTAAATATGATTCATGCAACAAGTTTTGCGCGTTATTGACCAATATTTTGCTCAATAAGATAGTTTAAGCGCAATTTTCACGAATCTCAAAAAATGTCCGTCTCACACTAATTTTTGCGCAGAAAATGTTGCACTGTCGTTGAAACCTGTAATAAAAGAATACAACCGTTTTAAAATCATTACGACTTTTAATCCATTTAAAAACAGGTGACCAGGGGCGTAAATAAGGATTCTGTAGGGGGTGTAAAATTTTGAATTCGGTGCGCGAAGCGCTCCGAAATTTATTTACCCCCCCCCCCCCCCCCTAGAAAAATATCATGATGTATTGGCTTTTACTTAAGTTTGATTTCCATTTTCCACTCATTTCTGGCATTTACAAACTCCATCAAATAAAGGCTTCATTTCCTACCTTTCAGCTTTCACCTTGTTTTATATCCTTAATTATACTCATTCATTTTACATGAACTACAAAGATCTGTAAAACAACTTAATTTATTTTAAGTAAGTTAAAAAATAATAGTTTTACTCTAAGAGGAGAAAGATGTTAATTTTTTAAATCTTTAGAAAAGCTACTCTACAAAACTTTGAAAAATATTGTCTTTGTTTATTTTCTTATTTCTAATTTCTAAAATTTTCTTGTCTTCAATGTTGTATGTTAAGGTCTTAAATAAATCTAATATGGAAATGACATTATTTAGAAGTAAAAAGGTAGTTTTCATTGCCATACCCTTTTTTTCTATTATAAAAACATTTAATTGTAATGACACTGACATTGACATTTAGAATCATTTAGAATATGTTGACTTAAAATCTGAAATATCTGAAGTATCTGCACATTTAGATTATTTTCCCGCAAATTTAAACGATATTCAATTTTAAAATAAACCTTTTTTTAAAAACAAAAACAAAGTAACAACTCGCTATTCAGGGCCTGAATAGTTCAGGTGTAATTACCTCCAAGATTCTAGGGGGTCCCCGAGGATTCTGTTTTCGGGGGGGGGTATTTACCCCCAGGATTCTAGGGGGGGGGGTATATAACCCCAATAACCCCCCTTATTTACGCCACTGCAGGTGACACTTATTTTTCCGACCATTTTACTTGGCTTAGATTAGCTGTTTTGTGGATTCTACAATTGGAATTAACTTAATCCACGTGGACTTCTGAACATACGGATTTGTGCTTTCTAAAGGGATTAACAATACAAATGATACGATCTCGAATCAAACATTGTACAGTTAAATGCACAGAGTACAGAGAATACATAGTGAAATGTTTGATGTATAGAAGTTCTAAGAATTCTAAGAATAAAATCTTTTAAAGTTTATTTATTTTGAAGAAAAATAATGTTCGCCATTTTACAAACTCTAATTTTCTATTACTTACACCTTTGCAACCAAATGTTGTAGACCTTTCATATTTCAAATTATGAATTTTGTTAGAGAAAATAATTCAATATCAAAATATTAAATGTTTTTTTACAATAATATTGCAAGGATATCGAGATAAGAAGCATTGAACAAATATCTTAGCAAACCCTTTATTTATTACCTGAACATACCTGGATATATTACGTTGTACATTGGCTGTAAATCTAAATGCGCTTGTAAATATCTACGCAAATCTTGTATTGCTATTAACCTAATTTAGCTACATCTGTAAATAGCTACGTCAAACCTGTATTGTGATTAGCTTAACTATAGCTAATATATCTCCGCAAATCTTGTTAATACGTACATTAACTTAACCTGTAACATAGATATCTAAATACACGTCAGTTGGAAAATACTCTGCTTTGATTACAGTGTGAGAGTAATTGCTTCTTGGTTGGCGAAGGAAAAGTGCACTAAATCACTTTCTTGAAAGATTGAAAATGATTGGGATTTGATACAGATAAACTCGTATCCGGATTGACATTGATAGTAAAATATTATTGAACTGAATTGCTCTTATGCCTCGTCTACCATAACGAGAGGGTACAAGTATTGGTGGCCATAAATTTGTTTCAGGATTGACATTTATAGTGGTATTCGTGGAACCGTGAGTTACTGTACCTGGATTGATACAGGTCTGAAAAACTTTTATGGAGTAGGGCATTTACTACAGATTTTGTGGCAAAAACTCAATTCCTTGCTGTTTTTCTCAAATACAAAATATATAATATAGTTCAGCCAGTATCCTATATATTCCGTTTCATTATACAAAATATATATTATAGTTCAGCCAGTATCCTATATATTCCGTTTCATTATACAAAATATATATTATAGTTCAGCCAGTATCCTATATATTCCGTTTTATTATACAAAATATATAATATAGTTCAGGCAGTATCCTATATATTCCGTTTCATTATTCAAAATAACCCTCATCAGGTTTAAAACATTCTTTTCAGATTGATTTAAAAAGAATTGTTTTACATTTGTTTCCCAACCCAATGATTAAATGTCTAAAAATGGCCTTGTGGAAGACTGCAAATGTTATATTTTATGATTATGAAGAATTACTGTTAAAAACGCCATGATTACTCAGCTTATTTTTGCTTTTCAAAACTCACTGTATCTAACTATCTATCTATCTATCATTTAATGCATAACTATAAACCTGATTAAATTTCTGCTTTAATGCATTGTTTTCCTGATCACGTGATTTAAGATTTTCCTACCTAGCTACCTAGCTATGTGCAAGTCAAGGTATCAAGCACTGCTGCAGCAGAAAGCAGGAAAAATACGTTTTAAACTACTTATATACCTTCTTCAGCACACATATACTCTACTGTTAACATAATTGCATAGAGTGGCATCACCGATTCACAACTGTACTGTTGAAAGCTCTGTCTGATCAAGAAATGCACGATATATAAATGCTTTTATTCTAAAACAATTTATTATTTATTTAAATAAAAGGCATTAGAAAAATTGTCGGAATAAAACCCTTTTACAATTACACTTTATACACTCAATACCTCTAACCTAACCTATATACTTGCTCTACACTTTACACCTTACAATATACACTTTAGAATATGCAATCTTTAAATTAGACTTTATCCTCTGCATTCTACACTTATTGATCTTTAGTTTAAACTCTTACAGACTACATTATCTGCAGCGCTATAACCAGGGGGATGATAGTTCTCTAATTGTGTGCTCAGTTAGCTGTACTTAACACTTACAACTGTTTACTAATATTGATATACTATAGGTTAGGCCAGAATCAACTTATAATAAACAAATATGCAGTACTCTCTCGGTATAGTTTAAGGCCTGTAAAAAGTAAAGGATTAGCGTACATCATCACTCTATAACTATAACCTCGTTGGTTATAACGCAGCACACTGTAAATTACACCTATTTATTCTGTTCTAAAAATATTTAAGTTAGTTATTTTTCATTCGGCTATCTTCTCAAAAATTCTAAGATTTATGATAAGATTTTTATATTTAATTTTACATATACGCATTAACTAAATTAACTTAAGAACTTGTTGGACTTTAAACTTCTTATTTATCATTGAGTTGATTTTTTAGGGTAAACACGAATATGTTTGTTTCAACTATACCCAGATCAAAGTTTCAACTATACCCAGATCAAAGTTTCAACTATACCCAGATCAACTATACCCAGATCAAAGTTTCAACTATACCCAGATCAAAGTTTCTCAGAACTATTTTTTTACTTCCTCTAGTAAGATTGCTAAAAAATTAACCATAAATTAAAAATTTATTTATTTTATCTATAAATATTAAGCTAATATAAATTTATACATTAATACATTTTAACAGCCGAATTTGTTAACATATTATCACAAAATTAACATTTAGCCTTTGAAATATGTACATAGTACACAGAGTACTGTACATTCATGAATATTATTACGAAAAGACGTAGGGGTAGGTTTAGCTATAAAAAAAAACACGAAAACAACAAATCTTCACGTACAATGAGAATGCATAACTGTAGAAAGTATGTATACTTGATATACTTAGCTTTACTAGTTATCATCAGGAAGAATCCCGGGGTAATTCCGTTTCAGTTCCTCCAACTTCTGCTGCTTCAAGATCTTGTCCTTGACCAGGTTGGCCAGCTCCTTCTCATTCTCTCTCTCCTTCCTGGTTAGTCCCAGCACGTATTTGTACGCTGCGCGGATTACAGTCAAGTTGGAGGATTTTTTGGGATCCAGCTCACACTCAACTGCAAGCTCATCAAAACATTTCTTTAGTAGGGCTCGTCTGTTCTTCTCCAGTCGGTTGTGCATCTCTCTGTTCGAGGATTTCTTCTGTTCAGGTTTGCTCTTGTTTCTCCCTGTAGGTTTAGGTCTTGAAGCAGGTTTCATATCTTGGATACTCTTCTGAGTAGGGGCGGCAGTCTTTATAGCTACGGGTTGATGGAGCAAAGACGGGACTGGTTGGACTAAAAGATTTTTTTTTGTCAAAGTTCTGGAATTTATCGTTTTGTCCTGAGCTTTCGGGGGCAACAATCTCTCAAGGGGTACAGGCTGGATCACGGTGTAGGGTTTAGGCTTGAAACTAACTTCGTTCTCAGTACTTCCTTTCGTATAGTTGATCACAGATCCAGGACCAATACTTCCAAACTGAGAGTTGGTCGGGGGAAATCTCGGAATTATTACAGGAGAAGGTTCAGCTACTGGGTTTGATCTGTCTCCGAGCTTGATGAGGACTTGAGGAAAGATCTGTGTTGGCGGTAGACTAGTCTGTATTACGGAGATTGGTTTAGCAATGTTCCTTGCATGTATGAGAATCTCTCGATCCTGCATCTCTTGAGATTTACTAGTTTTAGAAGATCTCATAGAATCCTCGCTGTAGCAATTATCCTCAGTGGCGAAGGTGACCTTGGAGCTCGTCTTCGGGAGACTTAAGTTTAGGACTCCAGATTCATCTTGAAATGGTTCCGGTATAATAGGATGTATTGGCAGCAGTCTAGGCATCTTGGCCAGTATCTCATCCTCTAAACTGACCTTAGTCTCTTCCTCCCTCCCCTTAGCACTGATATGACGGCTACATCTCTTTCTAGATCTCCGGAACCCGGAATCAGGAAGGTTTCCGTTCAGGAACTGACTAATAACTCCTTTAACTACTCCTCCTATCTCCTGCCTAGAAAGGTTACGGATAGGACTCCGGTCTAACGAAGTTTGTTGAAGTTTCTCTAGACTTCGATTGAACTTATCTCCGTATTTGGCAGGGTCCAACAGTTTGCTAAAGTGGTTGCTCTGTTCCAGCTCCGTCCTACCTATTACCACCTGCACTGAGTTCGCCCAGCTCCGCTTGGATTCGTCCATGTAGTCCTGGAACTGATCTATAACATTCTGAACAACATTCTGACAAGACAAAGGTTGCTCCGCTTCACGTTTACAATCCTTCTCCAGGTAGTCCTGGATCCACTTCTTCTTAGGGGGTGGAGGTTTATCAAAACTTTCAGTCCGTACATCTGCCACAAGAAGTGCCATAATGCCGAGTGTTTGTATAAGAAGAAAGGTATGTACGTGTGTTGACTCTGGACCGATATAAACTCAACTAACTAAACAGTAAACTGACTGAACTGAACTATTCTCCACTAAACTGAGATACCGAGCCTTGCAGACTCGGGGAGAGGAGGATTTAGTTGTATAAGCTACTCAACTATCCTGGAGCAAGCGAGCCCAGGATTCAACACGTGCTTTAATGTTAACTAAGTGCACGGGACTCTTAAAGACTCAATAATAATTAATATTCTTAATAAACTAGAATTAAAATTACTTGTTTAGACTGTGAGACTGTGACATCAACCTAATTTTTCATAAACACGTGAAATTAATTTACTTTAATCGAGAGATCACGAGAGCATATTTTTCATCATCAATTTTTAATTTTTACTGGAAGAAAACGTTATGAATAATCTTCTTTTTATTTGTATGCGGGGTTACCCATCAAAGATTAAGACTTCAATGACGACCTAAAACTCTATAATAAAAGTTTTGAATGCAAGCACTTGAGTCTTTGCCACAATTACTCTGATTTTCTAATCCCTGTATCTTTGCAACACAATGAATTATATTAGAACAACCAATATTAAGTTTGAAATATCAAAGGTTTACACCATCAAGTTACAAAGATTTAGGGATTAGATAATTTGAGATTGCGACAAAGACTAAATTCATTTGATTTTCTGTATGCTAATTAATTGAAAAGTATATTTAATGATTCTGACAGAGAAAAACAAGTTCATAGTTGGAAGGAACCAGAAATTAAAGAAAATTCTAAACCGTCGTCTCCCGTTAAATCTCATGTGGCTAACCCTGCATGTGCAGAAGCGGGGGGGGGGGGTTGAGCCCGCTCCTGGATCAGTAAAATTTATATGGTTTACTGAGGGTTTCAGGCCCCCACCATTTCTGGAAAGAAAAACTTTTAAGCCCCCTTGGACAAAACCCTGTATACGCCCCTGAATACCCATGAGATTGAGAATTTGACCTTTTTAAAACTCGTATATAAAACAATTGAAACCATAATCCATCCTCCTGACTCTTCGTGTCGTAAAAATACGATAGCATTTTGCAAATTACTCAGTCTCTGCAAAACCCCACTATTACTGCAAATCACTGCAATACGAACAGAAAGCTTAGTTTAAGGAATACTCATTTTAAACTGAACCAAGATCATTGTAGTTCTTATGTGTAAAAGTCTAGGTTTACAAAAAGTAACTCCTTTCACTAATACGCAGATTACTGCAGTACACACTGAATGCTACAAGGGCTATAAGCTAAGATGAGTGTATATAAGTAAGTGTGTAAGCTTTAGTATTATTGAATTAATTGAAGAATTGGGTAAGAGCTTGCATCTTTTGGATCATGCCTTTTAAACTGCAAAGTTAACAACAAACGTTGTTTTGAAATGTACATGTCAAGGGCTAAAAACTAAGACGTGTGTAAGTAAGATCAAATAAAAGGGTAAGACGTTGTAACACTTAAAAGTCGGTCTGATCTTAAAAATGGATGCACAATATTTATATCTGTCTGGATCCTTCTTTAACTTTTTTGATAAAAACTATATTATCAAGCAAAGTAATCCAAAAGAAATGGACTCTAGAACACCTTAATGTTGGTTTGATTTTGAAAAATTGATGGTCATTTTTTAAGTTGCCTGGAATCCTGTGAAGTGTCTTCTCCAATGTTTTTAGATTTTTTATGAGACTGAAGTGTACTTTATCATTCTTCCTCACTTCATCGTGAATTTCATAATGAACGTGCTATAAAGTAATCATCGTGCTATAAATTTAAATTAGCTGTACATTATAGCACGTGTGCTATAAAGTTTTGATTGGTTCCCGGATTTTCTCTAAATAATTTAAGATATTTCCAAAAAAAAAATTCAATTGAAATGAAAATTAAATTGAAATCAACTTTATATTTTGACTTCTGTTTTGTTTCAAAGCTTATTTGACCTAAAAATAGCCATTGAAATAAGACAAATACACAAATGTTTCATAAAATTACCTATAACAATATTATTTTGGCACGACGTGCTACAGTTGTTGGACTTAAAGCTCGGGACAAAATTAAATCTAAAAAAATCTCGACAAAGAGAAAATTTCTGTCCTAAAACTATAACACTGCGAACCAAATTAATAGTGTTATAAATCGTCAATTTTAGTTGACTGTGATTTAAAAGTTGCAAGTTTTCAAGCAAAAGTCGTTGAGAATTTTGCCAATTACTTCTTAAAACCAAAGCTTACAATAAGTGCTTTACAATACTAAAATGTAAGAGTAAAGGGCTCCAGAAAAGTATATGTGACTTAGAGCGGTAAAATCAAAACCCAAGGCGTTGCGACACTTCAAAGTCGACCCTGTTATAAAAGCAGGCTGAATCTCTGTGAGTTCCCTTTTTCTAATATACAATTGTATATCATTATGTTATGTCATGCTTTTACCACATTTCGATATCTGTCTTTTTGGCACCTCTTTCCTTCTTTTTTT